ATTATTAAGGTGTTCGCTGCGAACAGCCTGTTTATCGATACTTTTCCATAGGTTTAAAGGGAATAATAATCGATATATCGCAAAGCACGCCGCACCACTGGCCGGCAGCAGAGTTAGTTCCCGAATCGCGGGAAACTTGCGAAAAAGTTCCTAAGTGAGGAATTTTTCAAAAAAGGAAAAACAAAAAAAAAGTTCTTAAAAATTTGACACAGTTAGGAAATTTTTCGAAAAGCGAAAGAGAGAAATTTCCAAGATTACGTAAAACGCTTGGCCTAATGGAAATTTCTGCACCCATGTGCGGTTGAACACCTAAAATGACCGTGTGGATTTCGGTTTTTTCCATGACGGAAAGTTTGAGTAGACAAAGATGCTAATTCCTGGCTAATGAGTCGAATTGAAAGATTTCCAAAACGCCGGTCGTGTTTTCTACGAGACTTGATTCATATTAGGGTGCATTGACTTTGCTCTGCAGTTTCACACTTGAGAAAAAAAATTCGAAAGACCTTTTAAGCGCATGGGTTATTGAAGCGTTATCAAATGATCTTGATCGATAGCTAAGCCGGTCGCAATAATTAATATTTTTCAAAAACTTTTCAAAAATAAATTATTTCTACAATTACGTCTTAATTTTAGGAGAAGCTGTGATATTTTTGGGCCTTTAGGGCCTAAAAAATTATATGATCAAAATGATTTCCTAGTTACACAAACTTAACAACGGAGAGCATTTACGCGATTAGATTTTCCTGTCTTCACTTCTTTAATGGTCAATTGAACTAGGTTGTTACTTTACAGCCGCGCGACCTTGCTATGGACTCAATAACGTTAATTATATCTAATTGCCCCGAATTTAGGAAAAAGGAACCGAATTTTTCGGCTCTTTTAAAAAAACGACACACCTGTCATTGATTTTCCTACACAGATAGACTTTTACATAATGAGTCGATGCACTTAGTTCCTTCCTAGACTTGATTCAGGATTCACTTATATCCGTATTAAAAGCTAAGTAAGATGATGATAACCACAAGCCACTTAAGCTCGTAAATCGTGAATTTGTCGTGGACCGACTCAAAGCTAAAAGGTAGGTCACGGAGACAGGGTTTCCACTTTATTTGGGGACTCAAAAACTAAGTAAAACACGGCAATCCAGCTAATGAATTTGCTCCCTATCTTTCCATGGAGAGTTTGTCTTGATATAGAGAGGTACTCTCGGGGTATCGTGAGATATCCCCTACATTACGGCCTCAACTTTGAGAGCTTTTTTTGAGCTTGGGAGTTGATTTCAATGAAAACCAGAGGCACCGTCGTGTTTTTAGCGAAATGTTACTTAGGAATCAGAACTTACAAGTTCCTTACACAGGTAAGAGCTCCATTGTAGCTGCAAGAGTAAAAGGTTTCAGAATGGATGTAACGATTGAGTCTTTACTTAGATCAAATAACTGACCCCTCAAACATAATTCAAATTATCTTGCTCACCCGCAAAAAGGTATCCGAGAAAACCAGCAAGGTCAAAATCGAGCAAAAACCGCGAGGTCGAGAGTATCCGTAGGACCGCGAGTATCACGAATATGCGCGAAAAAACCGCAGAAATCCCCGGATATATGCGGACCTGCCAGATCGCGAATTTCGACAAAAATGTCACTAAGTAACATTTTAATCCAATCGCGCTCAGCGGGCCGATTATTGAAATTGATAGACAAAGCTATAGACAAAGAAGACAAAAGGGATATGGAGAGAACCTATAGGTGGAAGCTGGTGGTTGCAATGGACAAAGGAAATAGGTAATAGACTAAATAACGGCAACCCACGAGAAACCCGATAGCTAGTCCATCATTTTCTCCCTTAGTCCATAAGAACCACACATTTCAACCAATAGGATCGCTCCATACCCCCTATGTCTTCTTTGTCTATAAATTCCAATAATCAGCCCGCTGGTAAAGGAGAGCCAGAGCCACTCTTTGTTGCTTATTCGGGATTCTGTTCCGTGTCACAAAGATCGCCTTCAATTTGTGGGTAGACAAAAACTAAACACAAGTGTCAAAATCGTCACATCCTCACACATCTGCATCGATGCAAAACTCATTAGTCTTAGGAAAACTTATGAATAAATTTTTCTCGAATTTTCAGATAAGCCTGACAGAATAACGAATACATTTTTCTGCAAATTCAAAGAGAGAACTTCACAAGTTTCCTAGTAAACTCAAATTTTGTCATGAGAAATTAAGCAACGCCCGACTAAAGGTACTTATGGAAACGTCTATAATTTTAAAGGTTTCGTAAATCTTGGGAGATTCTTTACTTAAGTATTTGAAAAAAAAATATTTCAGTTACCCCTGTTTAAATCCATATCTGAGACTCCAGGATTAGATACCCTGCACTTTTTTTTTAAAATTTACTTACATTTTCCTCCGAGGAAAAATAAAAACAAAGCAAACTATTTTCTACTAACTTTTGCTGCTTCTGAAGTCCCTAAGAACAACTTTTTCCCAAAGTCATGTAAAGACAAAAAAATATCCACTTTATCGGTACTGTGTGTAAAAATAGAAAAATTTCATTGTATTCAGCCACTTTACTTGGCAAAAAAAATTTGGGCTGAAATTTCGAAAATCTGCTTATTAATGCTCGGGTATATTAGGGACTGCTGACTAATTAAATTTGAGCTATATTTTCTACTCTAGGTATAATCACTAATTTAGAATCTCTTAAAAAATTCATCCATGTAGTGAGGGCTATTTTTCCAGTACCTACGCTTCACACAAGTCTAAAATTGATGGACCAAGTTACTGTCAGATAGATAGATAAGTGCGGAAGTAGTGAAAACTGTATCTCATGTATGATGCAAATACTTAAGTAGCATTACTTATTTAGGTTTTAGCAGATCTTTCCCTTTGGAAAGAGTGGAAGAGTTCCTGAAAATTTTTCTTTGTTAAAATTCTACAATGCCATTGTAATCTTTTCCTCTAAAAAAGCTTTATCAGCTAGTTTCCATAGACTAGACATTATCAAGCTATCAGAAAGAAACGCATCAATTTGCAATGATCTCGATACTTACAGAGATCGTGTACATCTGATAACAAAGCCACTTTTGCTTCTTTCATTTCAAAAATTCAATTTTTCACAGCACTGATGTGTACCTACACATATTTACTAAACAATGGCTAAAATGCTTTACAGTTGTGAAATCCCCTGGGGATTTGCTCGTAATACACTTTATTCTGGAATTTGTTATACTTAATTCCATACTTCCAAAAAAGCTTAAGGTTTACAAATCAGTCTGACTGCGAGAAATAACATATTGACGGTGAAACTATCAGACCAGCATCACGGTTTGCGACATCGTAGACTTGCTGTCATTTATGAAATACTAGGTACTCAATGTCAATTCTTCAAAACTTCTATGTTTTTTCTCCTCTGTGCGAAGAAAACTCAGTGAAAATTTCAAGAAATGACATTGCTTTGTTCTCCTTAAATAAAATAAAATAGGATCGGAGATTTTTAAGCATCGCAAACGAGATACGTGGTCTGGTCCTTTCACCGTCAATATTCAGTAGGTACAACAAGACACCAACATGATTTTATCTGATTCATTGTTCTTTACCCCCATTTTTTGCCCTGCTTTTTGTATCAACAAAAATTCTTCTTTCAGATATGTAATGAACTGAAATCTTACGGATGTTTGTTCTCTGAAGGAAACAATAAACATATGAATATCGAACAAGAATGTCTTGGACTCAAGAATTATGAAAATATTATGTTGAAGTGATACCTAAGAATATCTACTCAAAGGCAAAGGCATTTATTCTGAGACTTTAGAAGTATAACTGCCAATTCCACTGATGATACAATAAGCTGTACATGCACAATCACAGAAACAGATGGCAAAGATGCTTATTAAATATTTTCAAACTCAGGACACCTAACAAAGGCTAAAAAAGAGATATCAATAAGAAATTAAAAATCTGTCCTCAGAAAATAAGACCTAGTCTGAACAGTTATCCAATCATGTGGTGAAAAGGAAAACCATCTCATGAAATTCTCCACATACAAGCAACTTCCTCAGAATGCAACGCATTTGTTGGCGCTGTTTTAAAAACCGCAATCAAAATCATTTGCGCTCTGGAGTGTTACTCTGATATTTTTGATAGAGATGACTATCATGTTTACACGAGAGGTGAGTAAGGTAAAAGGTCCTCCTCAGTAAATTCCAATGAATTTTATTGAGAAGAATTCCTTTTAATTGATTGTTCAATTCTTCTGGATTCCTTTCAGTTCCATCTCCAGCTGTGTTTGTTGTGTGCAATCAATGGCACAACAAGACAGCAATGACAAATATATTACAGCAGAAAAAATTTCGAATGATGAGGGAGATCATAGTGTAAAACTAAAGACTGTGGAAAAAATAAAATTGTTGTGATGAGAGTAAAAATTACTTCAATAACCAGGTGTTTGTGATAAGGATGTCAAACACCGTTCTGTTTTGAGGTTAGAGATTGGAGCGATGGAAATTAAACATACCTCATGATCTTTCGGTGGAATGTGTCCACACTGCCGCTTCACAAATCTTCCATGTCCACGGGCACCAATAAATAAAAACGTTAAAACTAGAATGGCACTTTTCCACTTCACTTTAACAGCCATCATGTGACATCCCGCAGGTTGTAAACAAATAAACAGATAACGAGCACAGAGTACGGAGAGCACGTCAGGATGCTGGCGCGGCGAACCAACGACCGAATCTGGCACAGACTGCCCATACTGGCTTCCAGGCACATGCGATCATGCGCAGCGGCGGCGGCAGCCCAAGACCGAATTCTCCATGGACAACTTATCTTCTCGATATGATGGGATGGCACAACTCTGTATGACCAACACGCTCATGTGGGCTGCGAGAATACTAAAACAAATACTTGAGGACTTACATTTAGATTCGCTGATAAACTAAGTAGCGCTAAAAATCGGACCCCCCCCCTCCCCTCCCCCCATGAACGCTCCTTAAACGTCGTACCGTTTCTCAGGGTTGCACGCGTGAAAGATTGGACATTTCCGTTAAATATTTCATGAAATTTCACGAGGCTGTAAAATATTTCATATTTTTCAGGGGCTAGACTATGCAACCCGCTCTAAAACGCCCAAAAACAGAAGAAAGTCACAATTTATACATTTTGCGAAACATGAAGAGGAACCGGTGTTTCTCAATAACTTTCATAAATTTCTGAAATCTCATGAAATATTTCACGTGAAGTTTTAAGATTTTATTTTTCATGGAAAATTGCAACCATGCCGTTTGCGACGTCCCTCAAGCAAGTAATCTAACAAGTGTTCAACTACCCCGCCTCCTTGAATTGCAGGAGGACTATGATAAATTTTTGACGAAAAAGTGCCCATAACACCGATTTTTCGAAAATTTTAGATGATTAGGTACCTATGATTTTTCGCGTGGCGTGGATTTCAGCGTAACGTAACGCTGTCCTAGATTCCCCTCTCCCCTCCATAACGCACCCGTAACGATAACGAAGGAGAAGGCTCTTCCTTCCCTCTTACCTGGCGAATTATGTATTTTTTATTTTATGAAGTGCCCCTCATTGTTCGCGAGGGACTCAGGGGGGTTTAAACCCCAATATCCAAGGCAGTTTTGCTCCTCGCAGTGCAATAATAGTCATCATAATCCTACCACATAATCATATCATCCTAAAACAACACGCTCACTCGAAAAAGACACGGAAGTATTAGATTATTGCAATGTTACTTCATTTTCAATTTTTAGTAAAGGTAATAGAAACTGTTGACTTACGTTGCCGAAAAGTGGTATTCCAAATTTAACGTCTATTTGGATTCGGAACACAAATAAATATTCTCTCACCGAGCGGAACGTGGACTCGTGGAGCGGTGATTCTAACGCATTGGCAGTTCGCCTACAATTTTTGATGTAGGCAAAACGAGCTCCCACGTGGTCGAATAGTGGCATCATCGTAAAATGACACGTTTACTCAGGCGATCGCAATAGCAGTGAAAAATCAAAGTAATTTTTGATGGGTAGCAGTGACCAATCCCTTGCAATTTTTAGAATTTCATTCAAGATGGCACCCCCTTCTCCCTTCCTTCCCCCTCCAACTGATGAGCCTTATCAGTTACCTTCGTCATCAAAAATTGTGTCGCTCATTGAACAAGAAATTCATGCAAAGTTATTTTCAGGGAACTATACATCGACGGTGTAAGTCCGCAACCATACATCTTGGTTTGCGACGTTGCAGACTTCTGTCATAATTAATTCTTTAAATAGGAAGGTGTACCTACTCAACGGCAATTCCTCATAACTGCCGTGATTTTCCTTCTCAACTCGAAGAAAATTCTGCGAAAATTTCAAGAAATGATGTCGCTTTTGACGATGCATTTAATTTCTTTAGAGTTTCAGCTTCCGCATTTATTCTTAGTTTATTTGCAAATTTCGAGGAAAATAGTTGGTTCGTTAGAAATTATCAGCGACACTTAACTTCTGGGGCTTTTAATTTTTTTACAAAATTTGTACCACATTTTGCAATAAGGCGAACCGCACTATCTCTAACTCATTATCTCTGACTCATTCGATAGCTCTGGGCCAGAGATAGTGACTCCTGCAAAACATCCAGATGGCTCTAGCTCTTTAACTAAACCATAACTCTGCAGATGGAAACCAATCGCATATACGTTACTTCTAGTATTAGCCAAAAATAATGGTTCCTTATCGCAAAATTTGGTCCATCTATCAAAAAAAATACAAATTTTACCAGAGGAAATTTGGCAACGTTCAAACGTCCATACGCACGGCGGTCCTCCTCGGCGCGTCATGGCAGAATAAAGGAGCATTTATGGGTTCTTGCAAGGCGTGCGTAAGTTCGCGATTGAAAATAAAACGTTGCGTAAGTGAGTAAACTTTAGGTCGATTAGATCAGAGAAATTCATAAACCACGGTGCAACCGTAACATCGATCCGATAAGATCACGGCGACCGGGGGGAGGGGGGGGGTATTTATACTTTTTTGATAAGGAGGTGGCGTCCTCCCTTTGAAAGCATTATGACGAGGGCTCTAGAATCGCAATCAGGCATGAATCAATGATTCGCATTAGACTGCCGGAAATAGCGTGGCACACCCGCCCCCACCCCCTTTCTATTCATAGTATCCCATGGACCCGGGACGGGAGAGATTGTGAGTGCACACTTATCAGTGAAAGGAGAAAGATCATCTCGCGATCTAAACCGTGCCCCGTTCCTGTGCGCCGGAGGACATTTAAATCCATTGTCGTTGAAAGAAAGCATGTCTTTTTCCTTACGGGCCTTCAAGCGTTGTTACTGCCATGTGTCCCAGGGCTCATACGGGGAGAAAATGTTCTCTTCTAACATCAGTAACATCAGCGGGTTCTCGCGGTCTATTACTTAGTAGAGATCGAACGCTCCTTGCCTCTCCTCCCATCCAATTGGAGCATATACTCGGGGATTATTCTGCCGTGCTAAGGAAAAACGCCGTATGATTATTCGAGAGTTGCCAAATTTCCTCCGATAAGATGTTTATTTTTGAGTAAATTTATGGATATTTTGCCTTGAAATTTTCAGGAAATTTGGGTAAAATTGCGAGCAAAATTATCTGCAAAATTGGAAGAAAAATATTTATAAATGTTCCCGAAAACTCGTGATTCACCAAAGGAAATTTGGCAACGCCTGAAGGTTCATACGGCGTTTCTCCTTAGCTCGGCAGTATTCTGCCGAGATGTAGGTGAGAACTGGGTGGCACAGGTGCAAAGATCTCGGGTGTCGATTCTTCCAGTGCTCCCATTCCGTGTACGTAAAATATTCCGGGATTCGGAACTTTTTTGTCCCAATTTCTTCCACTCCATGATGGTCGAAAGTTCCGGGATTCCTTTTAGAATTTTTCATCTAGAGTGCGCAAGCTCTCCAAAAAAAAAAAAAACAAAAAAAAAATCCGAGAAAGTTCCGGAGAATGCAAAAGATCCGGAACATTTCGAAAATTTCAAAAGTTCTGGGAAAAATCCAGAAAAATCTCAGAAGCTGCGGAATTCGGAATTAGTTCCGGGAAATAGAAACCCTGGATTCATCGGATCTGGCGAAACTTACTAAACGCCCTTTCTCCGCGGGACGTTTCAATGGATTTTTCCCGAGTTCGAATCGCAGGAATGAAACTTTTGAGCTTGTTTCCTCGTTTAAAAACACAACAAAAGTTCTTATTCTTCCATTGAAGTCGTTCCTGGGACTTCATAAGGACTCTTGGCTGGTACTGGGATTAGTATTGACTAAATCAATATTTTTCCCAACTTCGCAAGTGAGATTTTTTCCTAGGACGAATCCCATGAAACGTCCCATGGAGACAAGGCGTTGAACCACTGCAAAAATGTCAAAGGAAATCGACACGCCCAGCGTGCATGGAGGCTGTTTTCATTTAAATCTTCCGTCACATTCTTACGGCGCAATGATACAACTATTTGAACTCTCCGGAATGCGTGAAGTATCACGCCTTATTTGAAGGCGTTTTCAAAACAGCCAAGTTCCGAAACCCGGATTATCGTTTTGCATTTTTGCATAGTTCATATTCTTTTGTTATATTCCGTACCACTCGTTTATTTTTAATCCTCGTAGAAAAACCACCCATTTGCTAAATACAATTCTAGCTGAAGCGCACTTAAGCGCATTCATGACTGCAAAAATGTTAACGGAAATCGAAAAGGCCAGCGTGCATGAAGTCTATTTCAATTTTAATCAACCGTCGCATTTCTAAGGCGCAATGATACAACTATTTGAACTCTCCGGAATGCGTGAGGTATCACGCCGCATTTGAAGGCGTTTTCAAAACAGCCAAGTTCCGATACCCGGATTATCGTTTCCATAGTTCATATTCTTTTGTTATATTCCGTACCACTTGTTTAATTATAATCCTCCTGTAAAAATTACCCATTTGCTATATACAATTCTAGCTGTAGCGCACTTCAGCTATGCATTCACCACTGCAAAAATGTCAAAGGAAATCGACAAGCCCAGCGTGCATGAAGGCAGGCCCGCCACAAAGGGGGGATACCGGGTCCCTGGCCCGTGGAGGGAGCCCGTGTTACCCGTGAGAAACCACTACGAATTCACATGCAACCCTCGTTTCGTAAGAAAAAGTGAAAAATTTACCCTAAAAATTTCGCAAAAGAAGAATAGATTTTCAGAAACACGCTGGGACACTGTAGAATTCTTCTTAAATTTTCAAAGAAGTATACTTCTTGGAAAATTTCCATCTATTTTCAAGATTTTCAGTACAGAGGGATATTTTTAGTAACTGCGTTTCATTTTCTTCTGTCGTCAGATGCTAAGAGAGTCTCCAGTCTGGGCATCCTCGACTTCAATGGCTCATGGCTCAACTCCCGTGCCGTAAACAAACGAAGGGGGAGTCCAGGGGGGCCTGGCCCTCTTAGAACTGAAAATAGTATCATATGCCCCCCCCCCAAAAAAAAAATNAAAAAAATAGGTAAACATTTTCCAGATGTTTCGCATGCAACAATTCGCAAGTATTTTGTGCTGAAAGTAGGAAAAAAAAAAAAATACATAATTATTCCGCAGAAATTGATGGAAAAATTCTTTATGGAAGCTTCACAATGCGTCCGATTAGTCGTATAAATTCTAAAATTTCTCGGGGGATGCCCCTCGGAACCCCCCCCCCCTCCGTGCTTGGGGCCCGGACCTTAAAACTGGTACCAGGGCCCGAGGTGGGATGTGGCGGGCCTGGACGGAAGAGGCCATTGGGCTGAAGCAGAGCAAACTCAACATACGAGGAGCTGAAAACTCCTTCAATTTGGTGCGACGCAACCAGCTCAACTCTCATCCTCAGCACTGCATTTACTTTCTTTCCTCTCTTCCTTATTGCACTCATTTACTTGATCCGTCGGCTGCCGAGTCGTAACTCGTCACCTTCCGAATAAAGTATCACAAGCACCATGCGACGTTTCAAAATTTCCGCCGCCATTTCATTTTTTTACGGAGAAATTGCTCGACGAAGCTGTGCGAAAATTTCACCATGAATTTTCTTTGCGCTGCCAATAAAATTCAGTGACATTTCCAAACAAATTTAACCAACAATTTCTCTGTAAATAAATAAAATGATGGCGGAGGTTTTGAAACGTCGCATGGCGCTTGTTATACTTTGGCCGGATGGTGACGAGCTGTTGAATGCATTTCACATACGGGGATCGTATTCACAAAGTAATTCAAATTTAAAGTGACTCAATCGCCCAGCAATATTTTCCGATTTTTAATGTGAAGGTCAGTCACCTAGGGACTCATTTATTCAGAATTACTAGGGGATTTTGCCCTCTGACCGCTTCGCAGTCCAGAGACCATATTAATCCCATATGATGTGAGGACAACTAGATTCAATTCACTCAATTACGGATGGTTCACATATGCAAATCCAAGAGAGTGGAGCAAAAAACTGCGAACAAACGCATATACTAGGTAAGTAATACTATGAAAAAATGGAGTTTCCATGCATTTGATTCTACTGTAATTCGCTCTATTCTGTTTTGACCTGCTCATAATCTAGGCTAGCAGCAGACTGACAGAAAAAAAATGAAAAAAAAGCCTCTATGAGCACATAAATATAACAAATTTATTTCATTTTTGCTGATAAAAACTACAAGTTAATAAAACATTGCCATAAAAGGATGGAGAAAATTGTAAAAATCAAACTAGGAGAAAAACCGGTTAGTCATATCATTCACCCTGGCATCTTCTATGATTACGAAAAATTTATGAACACTTCAACTTGCGGGTACCTCTACTTATACCAATTACAAATAAAAATTTATAAACTTGGAAAAAAAAAACTTTCCTTGAGTTAAGATTAACAATTAGAAAATCTTCTGAGGGGCGGATACTGATTTAAAAGAAAGGAACAAAGGCAAAAAAAATATGTATAAGAACAGCCTGATTGTACTCAGAAAGGGTACAATACGCCCATACTCCTGCAACCCCTCTCCAATTTAACAGGACATGCTTTACCCTGAGTTTAATAATGGAAAGGTTAGATTTAGCAATACAAACTCCTATTCATTACTAAAAATGCATTATAAATAGTGTGTAATCGATTTAATAGGATTAAAAAAAAAAAAAAAATTACTCTCAACTAATTTTATGAAACTTGGAATTCATTAATTGAAAATTTAGATTCATAAGTGAGTCATCTTATTCTATTAAGTATCTTATACATAAATACAAGATTTAGATCTAGCATAAAAAAAGTATAAACTGGGTGGAAAAAATTGGTGCTACAATCGTTTTATGAATTCCTTCAGACAGGTGAAACAAGAGCACTACAACATTCCCAATGTTGGAGAGAAATAAAAAGAAATACGTATTCGTTGATCTTAAATGAGGGGCATAATGCTGCAGGTAAGTAGAACTGGTCCACCTGGAAAAGCTACCGTACACCTAAAAATGACTAATTTCTCTTCTTTGCAATTCAAAATGAAGAGTTTGGGTACATCAATATTATGCTGAACAATTTCAATGTCTAAAACATAAGCGGGGTCAGTATCACAATTTCAATCTCGGCTTGTGGAGAAGAGAAAAAAGAGGAAAGAACTAACGATGATAAATACTGACAGGATATCACGGCAGAAATTATCTACCTGTGAGTAAGTCTTAGAAAACAACCTCCGTTATTACATATAGTACAAGTTTTGAAAAACTGCCCAAACACATATCACCAGTGAAACTACTAGACCACGCATCTCGGTTTGCGATGTTGCAGACTTTCTGTCATACTTCATTTTTTAAATGAGAAGCTACTGAACTTCAATTCATGAAAACTTCCGTGATCATTCCTCTCAGTTGGAAGAATACTCTGTGAAAATTTCAAGAATGACATTAATTTGTTTTCCTACAAAAATAAAATGGGAGCAGAGATTTTTGAACACCGAAAAAGAGATACGTGGTCTGAATTTCACTGTCGATATGTCCCTTCTGCACAGTGATATCCCACAAGTCACTCTCCTTTGGTTCGATCTTTTTTCTTTATGAAATGAAGATAAAAATAAAAGTCAGATGATCCAAAAGTGTAAGATGAATCATGTTTGTTTTTATCTGCTGTAGATTCCTCTTAAAAGAGAGTGATATAAAGATGGATTTGATTTTCCACTTAATATGGAGTTTTTTCAGGAGATACACTGAAACATATTTGAAAATTAAATAAAATAAAAGGAAAAAAAGAACAGAAGGAAAGAAGAAGATTCAATACCTAAACAAAGGCAATATACTTAGATTATCTTGTAAAGACTTGCATTTAGAACATTAAAGAAATGTTCCAATACGAGATAGGTACTTTTTTAATCCTAGCTTAATTTTACGGAATAATAATTTAATGTGAGTTCAGAGCCGCTTCAGTTTTGTAAGACAGCTTTATCTTTGATGATTTTGACACCGGGGATGTTGTAGATTTTCTTCTGAAACTTGGCCATGATATAATCAGCATCTTGGACTCCACACCGGATTTGGTACTCAGTACAGACTCTTTTCGCTAGACGTTTCAAAGCAATTTCACCACCATGAGAATCAAGGATTGTTTGCACAACTTTGTCAATTTTGAACTTGTTAGGTTTGATAAATTCCTGAGTTTCTTCTTCTGAGCCCTCTGGATCTTTACCTTGATTTTGCTCTATTTCTGGCACATCGGCACTACCTATAAATACAGAGAACAATTTATCAGTGATTACAGCACATCGTACAAGGTTATCATGAATGGATTACTTCTATGGCAGGGTTGCCATAATATCTTCACCTTCAAATTCCCTGACTAATTTTACTTTTCCCTGACTCCAAAAATTTCAAATTCCCTGACATTTTAATTAAAATTCCACCTTAATTTTTTTCCTTTAAATTACACTCACTTCTGCTAAACGCTAAACACATTAAATTATCTGACTTTTCGCGTGAATTCGCTGACTTTTCCCGGTCCCCTCGAATTCTCTAACTTTCCCAGACCAACGGCAACCCTCTGGTAATAGAGAGAAAATATAGTGCTCTCTCCCTCTCTAGAAAGACACCCGGTATGACATAAATTTCTCTATAAAAAAGGAATCATCCAGTCCGAATGCCTCTATATTTTTGTCAAGCCCCACTCGTGACAAACAGCATTTCTCTTTCAAGAAAAATTTTCTAGTCCATTGTCAATTGGTTTTAGGGAGAGAGAATACAATAATGAGACCCAATAAATTGTGATAATGTTTTTTCCAGTAACTATCAAATGATATAATTAAGAGTACTGTGGATTAAAATTTGGAAACTTGCTTAAATTAAGTCAAGTGTCCTGGATAAATATCAAGATGCAGATTTCAGACAGAGTTGAAATAGCTCAATGGTTTCTCACATTACACAAGATTTCATTTCCAGGCTAGGGTTTCGATTAATTGAAAGAGAACGTCTCATTTAGGAGTTCTTAGAGAACAACGTACTGATTTTGGCATACCCAGACACAAAAGAATGTTGTACATTCAAATTTTTCCCATACCAGCAAGCTCTTAATACGGTTCTCATGTTGATTGTCGACTTAGCTTTGGTTTCTATATTTTTTGACGTTTTTTTGTCAACCATGCAAATCCAGACAAGAGATTCCCCCTTTTTTGGTTTAAAAAAGTTGAGTGAGTTTTGAGATGGAACATTTGCACTATTGTCTTCCAAAAAATCCTTTTTGGAACCAAGAATCATTTGATACATGTTGATTTTGGGTCATGAATAATATTCTTGATAGACACTATATTTTAATCGTTTGATTCGTTTTTTAATTTTTGATGCCCATGTGATATTATCTCGGTACAAGGACACAAAAGCTTTGACAAACAATGTGATTAGTTTTTCTGTAACAAAGCAACTACAAATACCAACTTTAGAGCTTGGAATTTTTAATTTGTTCGAAAGGCAAACTAATGTTGGTACGGAATTTTTACAAAAATCGCAAATCCTTGCTATCAGCCCATGATAGAAACTGCAGTTCATTAGAGTTGAGAGTATGTGCATTTTAATGCTGTTTGTTTTTTTGATCCCAGCATCAGCAGTTGCCATAAAAAAGGAAGTGAACGCACTCCAAATTCTATCTTCTTGGCTATCCAGAATTGGCACAGCTAGAATTTAAAATCGATCTACGGATGATCTTTTCAGTGAAATTTTTCATTTTGTTGGTAATAAGATTACTTACCTTTCAGATGCTTATGTTTCTTTTTAGCCTCTGCTTCGGCAGCAGCATTTTCTGAGATCTTCCTCTTCTTTTCTTTTTTGGAGAGCTTGCGCTCAATTGGAGCAGAATCATCAGTCCCATTTTTATCCACAGTTGTTTTCGCACTAACAGTCTCCATTTCAGACTCAGACTTATGTCTGTTCTTCTTCTCTTTTTTCTTTTTTCCTGATACCTCTTCATCAGCAGTGGCACTGTTGTCTGGTTCTTCAGTCTTTTCATATTTTTCAATTTCGTTTAGTTCGGTTAAATACTTATCACGCTTCTTCTTCTCTTTTCTTTCTTTTTTAGATAGTTTCTTATCACTGTCAGCAGCCTCTTCTGATGGTGGTGGATTATTCTCACTTTCTGGTTCAACCAATGAGTTCTCTGCTTCAGCGCTGGCTGTTGATTCTTCCCTAGATTCACTTTTCAGTTTATGCCGCCTCTTCTTTTTCTTTTCAGACACTACTTCACTATTTTCTACAGGAGTTTCATCACAGTTAATGGCAACGTTCTCAGCCTTGCTTCCATTTTGAATGTTAGGCCTCTTTGCATTGCTATTGGCCGCTTGCATGGCTTTAAATTCTTTGTCTAATATGTCATACAAACTCTCAATGACTGATTCGTCTTTGGCAAACATGCGGGCACTGTTTTTCATGAAATTCTGGAAGAGGAAAATAAGAAAATTAATCAAAAATCAGAGATTTGAAGGATGATGGTGAATATGTTTCCTAATAAGGTCCTATCAACAACCAGAGAAAATAACAACTACTGGGGGCTAATTTCATAGGATCTTCAAAATTTAATGTTTTTCTAGGGGCTCATAAAATACAAGCGCTCTAGGGGGAGGGGGGAGGTAGGGTCAAGGTAAGCGTTTTCATTACATGTTAGAGGATAGAGGCCTTCATCTTAAAGGCAGTACAAGGGAAGAGAGAGAGGGGAGGGGTTGAAATTGGTCGTAGCAGAAATTGAGAATCGAGTAGTGCTATAGTGATTTAATTTGAAATTTTCACAGGAGCAAGGTTCGTAGAAAATTTCTCAGAGACCTTGGACAATGTATTTGATGACCGCAATTAAGTGATTGTTCCAAAATTGGGTTGGAAATAGACTTAAAGTCATCAAACAAGAGAGTAAGTAAGCTTTTCCCTTACAAAAAATTTTATGTCTGTATAGCATACTAAGATAGCAAGGACTTAAATCTCATCCTTTAAGAGCAATGAAACAAGAGAAGAAATATTGCAGTCATCAATGCAATATGAATAAAAGCTGAAACCCGCATTTTGGTTCACAACATGGTAACTTTATGCCTTGCATTATAATCTACATGGAAAACTAATAAACATTATTTCTTGAACATTTCAGTGTTTTTTATTATCTAAAACACTACATGAAAATTTTAAGCCATGATGAGGGTTCAACCTCCTTTTAAAAAATAAACTAGGAGCAGAGAATTTGAAACATTGCAAGAGAGATAAGCATTCTTACAGTTTTGCTATTGATACTGTTCTGATTTGATAAGAATCTATCAGATTTTTAAAGATCGTAAACTTACCAGGAATGGCTTCTTTTTCCTTGGAATATTATCAAGATTTATGATATGCTGTAAAATTTGCTTGTGTTTGGAATTTAAAGGGTGAGTCTCATAGATCCTTGCGATCATTCCAAGCCAGTCTTGTTGTTTCACTTCTCCTTTATTGTTGGCCCTTTCAACAGTGCCCTTTTCACCATACTTTTCATTTTCGGTCAGGCATCGTATATGAGCAGGGTAGGTTTCAGCACTGGAACAGGGGATAGTTAAACCACATTAAGATTGTTGAGATGAGGGAAAATAGGAAATTTTAAGTTAGGTATAGTGAGATTGACTGTAGTTTATAGTTTCCATCTTCATATTTGATCTTCAAAAAACCGCAGAATAGATTTAGTAATGGACCATACGACAGAGTGAAATCAAGGCACTTGAGAAAAATAAAGAGGTAAGAGTGTTCTTACAAGCCTGTTCAACTTTCATGTTCTGCTTCCAAAGCTTTTTAGCAAGGGATTTCTATTGCGACAAAAGCTATACATTTACAGATTATACATTTTAATGCCAAATTTAGCTGGCTAAGCTGCATACAGCATAGTAATTGATTAAAAAAAATTGAGCTACAAGCAAAAAATAAATTAAACAAGTAATATTTCAAACTACACGGAGATGAGAAATATTAAAAAACTTACAAGAAACAAAGCAAACATTTCAATCGCCAACAAACTGCGGTCTTCTCCATTGCAAAAGGAAAAACAAGTAGAAACATTTTACAAAATAAAAAAATAAAGAAGCTACAAAACTATTAGCAAACTAAGTAAAGCACAAATCAATTGCAACTAAGTACATCTTGGAATAAAATCAAAATAAGACAAAATTTATTTCTTCATCAAAATTATTTTGATTGTATTCCAAGATGTGGTTGCAATAGATTTTTATTTTTGCTGTACTAATTTCAAGTGTGCTGATAGTTTTATGGATTTTTTATATCTTTTTTATTTTGTAAAATGTTTCTTTTTGCACTGAAGGAGACCGCAGTTTATTGGCAATCAAAATGTTTGCTTTGTTTCTTGTCAGTTTTTTTATTATTTCTCATCTCCATGTAGTTTGAAATATTACTGGCTTAATTTATTTTGGCTTGTGGCTCAATTTTTTTTAATCAATTACCATGTTCTTTACAGATTATAATACATTAATTTTGCTGAAATTTTAGAGATTCCAAGTAGGAAGGTCTTTCATGACTCTTACACAGTAAAGTAGGCCTTTCTAATTTGTTCATTGGCCACTATTTCTACCCACTAACTGAAGTCTCTCTGTGCCACTGATGTTTTCTTTCCTTCATCCTCCTCTTAAACTGAAAAGGAATTGCCTAAAAAAGCAGCTTTGAATTTATTATTCAAGTAGTCAAAATGCTCCAGAAACAGAGAATTAGAGATCTACTGTGACTTACTCGAAATCCTGGAGACAATCAATGCAAGTAACGTCAACCACACGGCTTCGTCTACACTCGCCGAAATAGTGCTTCTCCACTGCAGCTTTCTTCACAGATGCCCCGCAGGCGTTGCAGGTGAATGCAACCATGTTTTAAAGACCGAGAACTATACGTGACATAAAAAAAAAATTGAAGTTAGTCAGCATATCAATTTTTTGGAACACCAACTCAAGCCCTTAAACAATAGCAGAGGAAAGCAGCTGCTCTTAGGATTATTTGGGTTTCTTGAAAATTCATCTGAGGCATGTTCAAGTAATTAATGTTCTTAATGCTGAAAGTAACTTTTAATTAGACAGAAGCTAAGATGCAAGAGGCCTCAGGTTTCATCACGCAATCTTTGTTCACAGGAAAACATCTATGTATGTGCTCAAGTGAGAGGGAGCAACTCTGTAAATCCTGTTTCAGATTACTTCTCCTCTTTTGCGGTATGCTCATACAGCGGAAGAGGATAAGTAATCTGAAGTGGGCTGTACTTAATGAATGATGAAAACAATTGATTCTTGTCAAAAATATTGTGCGTCTTTCGATGGGAAATTTTAAATAGATTGGACAAATACCTAGAGAAAGGCCTTGAGTTCAAAAGCTATTGCAGTGCCACAGCTGGATATTAAGAGCTGTTTTGGAACAGAACTAAGTGCTTATCAAATAACTAATAAGTGGTTAATTCAACTTTGTTTGAATTGCCCAATGACTTGCATGTCTATATCAAAGTGCCAAACATTTTTATTCAACACTCATTGATCCTCAAAGGTCAAAGAATCATTCAGAAGCTAAGGGCCCAGATAGGGCTGTTCTATCGGTTGTCGGTAAGCTACCGAAACTGTTCCGTTAAGAAAAAGTTACGATAAGAGCGCTCTTGCCGATAGCGATCAGAGTTTTCGGATCTGGCGAAATTAAGCTGTTGTCATGTGTACATCCATTTCATGCGCCGCCGCGCCAGGCAATCTGATAAACCGACACAAGGGGCAACAATGCATTGAGTGCGAGCTCTCAAAAATCCGATAAGGCCGGCTGTTGTCGATATCATCGCCACTGTCAGTACTGCCGCCAGTTTCAATAAGAGACGATATCGAAGGAGTTCCGGCAAGAATTCGTTTGAACACCCCTAGGCCCAGATACACCTAAGAGTTACAAGCACTTGTTGAAAAAGTGACACCAATAGGCAAGGAGGATTTTGATAGCTTGACATCTAACGATCCAAATCCTACTTTCCTAATAAGTCTGTTTCATTCCATCAAGCGCTTATAACTCACAGGTGCACCTGCCACTTAAAATTGAAGAACTAAATGTAATCAGGCAAATTTACATCAGCAGCCTAAATGTGGCCAATCTTCCAAATTTGCCATATAAGTACTAGAGAAGGGTTTACATCATCCTCAACTGAAAGTACACACCTATTACTTAAAACTGTTGACAAAGTAGGTAAATCTATTGGGTGAACAATGAAACTGAAAGAATCAATTTCTGATGATGCAGAATATTAGTTCTTTCTGCAAGAGCAAGTTGCTAGTGGTCTTGAATAAAAACAAGAGTTATCTGTGTAGGTACTACTATACCGTAGAACTACTTGCACTGTCTCAAAATTGGCTTTGACTAAAATCCATGTTTTGGCTAAATTCATGCCCTCCTATAAGAACCACAGCCTCGATGTTCATCCTGTTAGCTGAGAATAAGGTAAGCCCCTTAAAAATACTGCCTTGGTTATCTTGAAAGGTCTGTTGGCAGTAGGTCATACAGAAAATGAAGTTAAAAGTAGCGATGAATTTAGAGGAGAGAACTCAAGAAATAGTGCCCTCTGACATGTTCGACGCTTCCAAGTTTCACCTTCCAGCCAAGTTTATAGCAGTATCACACTGCTTTTGGGCACACAAACTCCTGATTCTAGCCGTTGAAAAAGTAAAGAAAACATGCAGTCTATTATCGTAAAAATGTTTTAACTAATACAAGTTCTTATTCTACGACTAAAAACGCCATGTAGGCTATCTAAATGGTAGCCATGCGGTGGCTGTTACCTAGTAGTCAGCAGAGAAAATTCTCGAACCGAAAACTGGAAAGAACACTGGAAATCCAATGTTGATGTACACTTGAAGACCACAGTCAGTTCAAGCGAGAATGAGACTCAATAAAGAACTTTTCAAGGATTAGAAACGCACGAATAGTTATAAATTACGCATCAAAACTAAAAGCCGTAGGACCAAAACATTTACGACGAACACAAACAAACACAACACGCTAAACGCATGGGCTACGCAACATAGGGTTGACGACTCTGTTGGGGTTGTAATGAAGATTCTGTCGTCAGTTGTGACTTTCTATATTGGACGAATGTGCCGCTCTCTTGCAGCGGTTTAAAGAACTAACTGTTCTTTTAGCGGGCTTTTCAAATTTTACGCCGCTTCATGAAATTACAGGTAACAGATCATAGATTTGTACCTCAATTATCGTCGATTATGAGTCAACTGCATGTAAATGTATACAAGGGGATACATTTTATCTGCTTCTAAGAGACTACGGCCAGAAAAATTCGGGAACTTGCCTGAAAACGACAAAAAATGTGAACACCCATTCCAGTTTGCATTTCCCTCGTCTAGTTTTCAACTTCCGCTTCCAGTTTTCCGTTCCGATTTCCGGGTTTCACTTCTTATTTCCGCTTCGGACTCTCCACTTCCGCTTTTCACCTTCAACTTCAACTTCCAATTTTAACCTTTAACGTCCGGTATTTTCTCTCCATTTCTGGTTTTCAATTTCCCCTCGCAGTTTTCCCTTTCTATTTCCGGTTTTTACTTTCCACTTCCACGTTCAAACTTTCACTTTAAGTTTTCACTTCTTTTTGCCGGTTTCCACTTCCCATTTCTGGTTATATTCCAGTGTTTACCCAATCTTTTTTAACATAAGATGCCTAGGACTTTTTTCATACGCAATATCCCAAGTCGGGTTATGTTTTTTTTAAATTTTTACTTTTCTGGTAACATATTGGCACTTTCTCGCTCGCCTTCTTACCCGCCATGTATAGCCAGCCTAGAAGAGATAGTTTGGTCAATTTGATCTAGCTTGGGGTTTC